TCCCTAAAGAATTTGTAATTCTTAAAAAATCTGCTTTTTGAATTCCTGATCGTCTACTATTTTCATGTTATCTTTTAATTCTGGTTTAATTTCTTCAATATCTGCGTGATTTCATTTTTCGTTGGACCAATCTAATATTAAAAATGAAGAAAATATTATTATGTATTTATCCCCACACCATCTACCGCCGCTTATAACTTTAAATAGGCGCATTAATATAGCCTGTATCTAAGACATAGCTTCCGCAAGACATCAGAGTCCTATGTGTCCCGAAACGACCTATGTATGGCCAGGCAGTCTGGCGGGTCGGGCGGCTACTGCCTTGGCCTAACTGTTCCGAAAACGTGTAGTCCTCACCTGGTGCTCCCAAAGGCCCGATTCAAATACATTTCCGGAAGTTTTATCAAGTGAATTTTCAGTTTTGCTTCCCTTGAGAAATGTCGGCCTGAACAAAGAAAATTGCCACAACAAGAAATCGCAATTTTTCAGCTATTCAGCTTAAGCTCTTTATCGAAATGACCTAAGTTACTTTTTCTTTGCAACAGCCGACATCTTCTAAGTCCCCCAGCTCAAGTTCGAATCAGTCCCCAAAAAAACGTGTAGAATGGTGAAAATAGAGCTCTGCGAGTTTTTCTGGGACCGCGGTACCTAGTGATGGACACACGCCTGACTGTATAGGAAACAACATAGTTCAACATGACAAAACGATGTTATTTTCCTCTACACGCAGCTTAAAGTGGTGAGAAGCTCTCTCACGCCGTCCTTCTCTTCCTCTCTCTCTCTATTGCTCTCCTCTCTCTCTCTCTCTCCTCTTCTCTCTCTCTTCTTTTCTCTCTCTTCCTCTCTTCTCTTCTCTTCTCTTGCTCTGCCTCTCTTCTCTCTCTTCTCTTCTCTTCTCTGCCCTCTCCTCTCTCCTCTCCTCTCTCTTTTCTCCTTCAACATTAGTGCATGTAATACATTAAAGACAAATTTTTCAAAGAGATAAATACAAAAAAAATTTGTTCGCAGGGTTCCTCCATTGCTGGCGTTCCCAAACCCAGATCCCTTTGAAGCCGACCAGCGAGTTTGGCGGACCATCATTAGCAACATCGAAGAGATTACGAGTTTTAAACAGGTATTACTTCGTTTTCAGTTTACGGCGAGTTTGCGCACTTGTCATGCATTAAGCGATTCATGTGTCTGTACTTAAACGTTCTTCACAAATTCTCGATGTAGAAAGTATGTCGGTGAGTTTCATGAGAACATAGTCGAGTATTTAACTTTATGCATGTAAAATGTAAGACGACAGCTTATTAACCTGAGGAGAATATATACTTCCAAGTCACCCTGCCTTACGTGCTTGCGAAAATATGTTTAAATAAAAATAGCATATTTAATGTGCATCTCGGAAGTTGCTGTAGGAATTTGCAAGCTATACCTTAATATATTAATACGAGTAAATCAGATTTCGCAGATTTATTTGTTATGTTCATAGTCTTACGTTTTTCATTGGTGAAAAGTGCTATCTAACCTAGTTTTGCTTCACTTCCCTATACCAGTTTCTGGCAGCAAGATAAATGATTCATCATTTCATTCTCTTTCTCTCTCTTCAACCGCATTGCTTACGTTTTCTTTCAACGTAGTTATTAAAATCACAAATAAATTCTCCTATTCTTTAATCTTAAATTCTTGCATGAATTAGAATTTGATTTGATCTACAAACGTCCTCTTTACCAGTAAAAGTGTATTTTATTACGTTCTTACTACCGTGTTCGGTTTAAATATTATCAGACTTTTCGCCCAATCGTTGGAGTAAATTAATCAATTCTTACGTAAAATGAAGAGCAGACTGACCTGGGTTTGGATTGTGAACTCGATAAGCGGACTGGTCCACTTTGTGGATGCTCAGTGGAAGATGCAGGGAAAATATCACATAATCGGTAATATTCTGTAAAACACCAATCATCTTTTCACAGATAGCCATGAAGCCAAAATATCGCGTTGTCGTAAACGTTCGTCAAGTTTCTCATGCTGGTACACTGGGGCAGGGTTTGCTCGAATAGGCGCCATTTGTGTGTCCTCGCCTTACCCACAGCACTTAACTAAGGAGTCATTGACGGGACTCGTGATCTTTTAAGGCGAGCCGACGCAATGAGGAGGGGAAGCGCTCGGGCGCGACCCGCCTAGGTCTAGAGAAAGAGGAAGCCGGCACACGGGCCACTGCACGGGCTTGGCTAGCACTCTGCCGGAATCCCCCATTTGAGTGGCCCGTCGCAAGGGATTGCTTTTGCCTTGCAGTCGTCCTAGAGCAACTGGAACGAGTGCCGGTCGCCCGTGGCAACGTGGCTCGCTGCTTCGTTCGGCCACACGCGGGTTCTGCATCTACACGCGAGTACGTGCCAACCACTACCCAGGTGAGGAGATAAAGCGGTCTGACAATCTGACAGAGAGCGTCCTGTGCTAGCGCATAGCGCCCTAAACCGTGTCTTTCCAAAAATTCATTTTTGCACGATCGGGCCCGAACTTCGGGTGTGAATTCGAATCAGATATTTCATTTTTGGGGGTGTACTTTACACGATGCTTTACAACTTTCGAAACATTGTCTCTAAAATAGGTCCAAATTTTTGTATCGTTGTTTGTTCTCGATAGGGTAAAGCCACTTATAAAAGTCCAATTCGTGAACCCTCTTTTATGTTCAAAAATAGCAAAAGTTACGAAACAATGCGAGAAAGAATGATGCCCCCATGTGAGAATTACCCTAAAAAATCAAAATAACCATTTTCAGTTAACAGGACTCTGGTCGGCAGATCGATCGGCAGAAACTGAATTTTGAAAGAACGGATTAAGGCGCAAGCGCTAGCAAGGCGAAAAAACGCTCGTAGGAGGGGAAGGTAAAGCCGCTGTCCCATGTTAGAGACTTTACTTGCCATGAAAGATCTCAAGCTAAATGACGCTCGTGAGCTAATGCAAAAAATCGCCTGTTTCTCGCAAGCAACTACCTTCTTGTCTGCCTAGTTGGTGAAGAGGAGCCGTAGCGAAATTTGCGTTCAGAGGAAGAGCGGGCCCTGACGGCCCGAGTTCACGTAAAATAAGGCATTAATCATCTGAATCAGGACGGTGTTCGAGTGTCGACGGAGCTGATGCCGGGAGGCGGCGCGCGGCTGTTCCGGGAAGCGCCAGGACGGCCTGGCCCACGCCTGCCGCTCGCTCCTTCTGCCTCAAGCCGTGCAGCGCCTCTCAAGTACACCTTCTGCAGGTGCGGTGCGCCACGCCCGATAGCGACCCGCGCCCCAACACATCCCGCCCCCCAGCAACTGCGCGCCACAGCAACTTCCCCCCCAGCAACTCTGCCCCCAGCAACCCGCCCCCAGCAACCCCGCCCCAGCAACCCCGCCCCCGAAACCCCGCTCCCGCAGCAACCCCGCCCAGCAACCCCGCCCCAAGAACCCCGCCCCCCAGGCAAACCCGCCGCGCAAGCAAACCCCGCCCCAGCAACCACCGCTCCCCAGCAACTCGCCCCCCCAGAAACCCCCGCCCAGCAAACACCCGCGCCCCCAGCAACTCCGCCCCAGCAACCCGGCCCCCGGCAGCCCGCCCCAGAAACCCCGCCCCAGCAACCCGCCCAGCAACCCGCCCCAGCAACCCCGCCCAGAACCCCGCCCAGCCAACCCGCCCCCCAGCAAAACCCCCCCCCCGGCAGCCCGCCCCAGCCCCCGCCCCAGCAAACCCGCCCCAGCACCCGCCCCCCAACCTCCGCCCCAGGCCCCCCCGCTGCCAGCAAGCCCCGCCCCCAGCAACCCGCCCAGCAACCCCGCCCCAGCAACCCCGCCCTCCAGCAAACTCCGCCCTCCAGCAAACCCCGCCCCCCGCAAACAAGCCCCAGCAAACCCGCGCCTCAGCAAACCCGCCCTCCGCAAAACCCACCCCCCAGCAACCCAGCCCCCTAGAACCGCCCTCCAGCAAACCCCGCCTCAGCAACCCGCCCCACAGCAAACCCCGCCTCGGGAGCTCTCTAGCGGAGCTTGCTCCGGCCATCCGGTTCTCCTATACGCTCTCCCCCCATTCACTAGATCAGCTACTCGCCTCTTTCAATCCTCTCGCTGGCCTCCCAATCACTGCCACATGCCACCTACACTGTCCTTCCAAGCACTCCCTCCCCACCCTTCCTCCCAAGCCCTGTGTACACTTGTGTGTTTACATTTCCTATCGTGGTCGTGTTCTCTGAGCTCAGACAACTTTCGTCTCTTGACTCCACTCACTTCTCCTCCCTCTCCGCACGCTCCCTGCTGCTGCTGTCGGTGGATCCGCTCCGCTGCAACCGAGTCTCCTGACCACTCCCGTCAGGACCCGACCGCCTCTCACGCTTTTCGCGCTTCTTTTGCGCTCTCGCCCTCTCGTTTTCACGTTTCATCTCTGGCTTTCCCTCCATGGGTCCATAACTTCCTGGCTCATTTTATTCATCCTTCCTGCTGCCGACATCACCACCCTCCATCCGTTTGTCAGGCCTTTGCACCTTTGTATAGTCGGCCCACCAATCCGTCATCGTCTCTCTTTCACTTCCTTTCGAATCTATCGTTTTCCAGCTCATTCTTGTGATCTCCCCCCCGCTCCCCCTTCCTCCAAGCCCTGTGTACCTTTGTGTGTTTGAACATTTCCTATCGTGGTCAACAATTTTCGTCTCTTAGAT